AATCTACTATTTATTTACTATTAATCAGTTGTGTGCTCGGTTTATTTTTCAGTTGTGAATTATCAGTCAGTCAGTCAGTGTCTTATTGGGTGTATTACTGGGTGCTTACCGCTAGCGGATAAATCCACGAGAAAAGTGCTGAGACCTTCAACCTATCCATTGTCTTCTTTGTGCATAGAGGGTTATAACCAAACCTATCTTATCTACTGTTTTCTCTTAACATGTTGTTAATGTTGTCCTCCTCAGGTAGTGTTGAGCTCCTTGGTGCTATGGCGTTCTGTGCCCCAAAACAGTTATCGTCATGTCTTCCCAGTATTGTGCCTCGCTTGTGTGAAGTTCTCACAGATTCTCACATGAAAGTACAGAAGGCTGGAGCCCAGGCCCTTAGACAAATCGGCTCAGTGATCCGAAACCCAGAAATTCTAGGTAAACTGGCTGCAACAAAAATTTTACTGAAGCCTTAATTTCTAACTCTCACGTCTCAAAACTTCATTGGTGTAGGATCCTTACCTAGATTAAGAGCGTGTTAGAGCGCAGCCAATTTTCTCTCCATGACCTATTATCATCGATCTTTACCAATTAAATGGCAGGATTTTAATATAAGATGGCCGTCAAAAATAGAAGGTTCTGATTGGTGGATTTGAACCATAGCAGGTCACGCGATAAAATTTTCCTCTGCTACTATTGGCTAGTTACCTAAGGAAGCGGCCTATTTCAACAGCGATACAAATTTACTGTAGGCTGTAGTCAAGACATTCAATGGAACCTGCCTGTTTGTAAAAGGTGGTTGAAACTTCTAGTTTTTCTCGTTAATATTTCAGCCATTTCGTCCGTTCTTCTCGAAGCCCTAATGGACCCATCTACCAAGACTGCACCATGTTTACAAGTTCTGCTCCAGACCTCTTTCGTTCATTTTATTGATGCTCCATCGCTCGCTCTCATTATGCCCGTCCTGCAACGCGCGTTGAGCGAGCGTTCAACTGAAACCAAGAAAATGGCGGCACAAATTATTGGAAATATGTGTTCTTTGACAGACAAAAAGGTAAAATGGGATCAACAAACTTAAATGTCCTCGTATTTGAACTTGTTTCCGGACCTCTCCTTGAATTCTTTTTATGTGAACAGAGGTTGTCATTATTTAATCACAAAAGGGCCAGTAAAACTCATTTGTGAGATATCCGTAATGAAAGCAGCATCATGAACAAGATTATTACTTTAGGTACCACAGGTGGGCCAATCACTCGGGATTTGTTTGATAACACAGTCTTCCTAACAAATAATAGAGTACTGGTATTGGTTTATTAGAACTACGATGCTGTCTACTGTTGTTGTCGGCGGTTTTTAAACCATGTCCTCAAGTTCATTGAATTTTTCAGGATCTCGCTCCATATTTGGGTGCAGTTGTTCCAGGATTGAAACAGGCCTTACTTGATCCAGTACCAGAGGTAAGAACTTAAAACATTTTCTAATACAAATTCCGGCGCAAGTTTTCATCAGCGTGTTTTTCATCTAGGTCCGTGCAGTATCTTCCCGCGCCCTCGGTGCTTTGGTCCGCGGTATGGGCGAGGAGTGCTTTGAGGATCTGTTACCGTGGTTGATGGAGACTCTGACGTCAGAGAACAGCAGCGTAGACAGATCAGGCGCAGCTCAAGGTATGATGTGTCACACCTCACACCTTGTTCTCTGGAAGTATTTAGTGCTCAAACATTATACACAGAAAAATTTTTGTACTATCTTTGCACTTCACAACGATTACGCGTTTCTGTTTTAGG